TCCGAACAAGGTCTGACAATTAGGTGTTCGGATTAAAGAGGTTGCACTGTATAGTTCTGTTGAATGACTTTGTTGGTAGAATAAAAATTAGTTTGTGAGATGTTTTATGTGCTCTGAACCGTTAAGACGTAGTTTAATTTATCTGCAGTATACTGAATCTTGTGTGGTACCTACTACCTAGTTTTACTTTGCTTGATTATCTGAGGCATGTTTTGATCAACTGCTTATTTTTTTGTGTCATCGGCATCGACTGCTAAGGTCATTAGCCTCGTGTTCCCGTGTAGGCTTTGTTACTGTTTCTCAGCGCCACTTTAGGAACAGCACTGTTAATTAGAACTTATTATACACTTATGAATTCTATATTTCACCTTAGTTATACAGGGTGGACCGGATTTAATTTGCGTATACAGAGATCTCGTTAACCGTAAGATATACATTGTCGGTTAAATGGGGAAAAAGTTTCGTATTTTAACAGGATAATACAATGGTCCATAGAAGTTCCAGATTTTCTGACTGGTTCCGGAGATATTCGATAGAATCCGAAAAACCTCATTTTCGTTTTTTAAGTCGTGCGTAGTTATTATAAAATTATACGAAGTTTTTGTTATAAATCAAGTTCCCTATAATCTGCCATGTCAAAATTTTTATTACGACGTTTCGTATTTCCAGGGCCACCTTCAACTTATTTTTTTAAATACGGACCTGGATTTTTAACTGTAATTTTTTATAGCTTTTGTATAGCTAAATACAACGATATGTTACACTTTACCATTTTACTACGTTTCGTCTATGAAAATATCATCAGCTATGTAGCTTCTGATGCTACCGTTTCTTACTTGATTAAAATAAGATAACTAATTAAATAATAATTAAAAAACAAAAAATGCTTAAAATGTGAAATTTTAAATATTATTTGAAACAATACAAGAATTATTTAATTACAAAATGGGTTACAATTTTTTATCAAACATGATTAAGTACAAACAGAAAACAAGACTAATGAAGAACGAATTATGGTTGTACACATTCTACAAATAATAAAGCTAATACCAAAAACATAAAATGAAAAATAAAACGGTCAAGCAATCTATACATTCCTATCACCCGATTTTCTGTAAAATCTTTCGCTTAGGTTTCTCACACCGTATGTTTTCTATCTTTAATGTTTTCATTTTTGCATACATAAGATCTTAACAAAATCATGTTTGCCATGCATTTCAGTTGTAACTTGTCACCAATATTTTTGTTATAATCTGTAACATCTAATATTACAGTACTTTTTTAGCTTTAAATAATTTAAAATTAAATAAATATTATGGTTCGTTGTACTGAAGAAGAGAAGAAAGATATGTATGATTTGTACATAAGATGCTATAGGAATGAAACCCGGTCAGCTCAGACTTATTTAGATTTATATCCTGATAACAACAGCCATCTAAGAGGCTTATATTTCAAAAAATATGGCAAAGCATAGCAGTGTGAAAAAAAGGAAAACTAGATATCAGGTTCGACATACTGATAATGAAATTAATGTTCTTGCCCAAATACATATTAACCCTGAAAATTCTACTAGGCGAATAGCTAAAGAATGTGTAGTAGGAACCTCCACGGTTAAAAGAATTTTAAAGAAACATAAATACCACGGGTATAAATTTCAAAAAGTCCAGAAATTACACGCTGGAGACTGATAGAAGACTGATGTTTTGTCGTTGGTATAGTACAAAACTGCGCAATGACCGTTCTTTCAACAAAAAGATATTATGGACGGATGAATGCTCCTTCACTAATAGTGGAATATTTAATCCCAGGAACAAGCATTTGTATGCTACTTCTAATCCCCATTTAATCAGAGAAGTTAGACCACAGTTCCGTTTTACCCAAAATGTGTAGTGTGGACTAATCAATAATCAGATTATTGGGCCGATTTTTTTGGATGGTAATTTAAATCAGTTCCGATACCTACATTTATTGGAGGAAGTACTCGATCAGATGTCCTTACAAACAAGACAAAATCTTCAATACTTTATGCAAGACGGTTGTGGTGTACACAATGCTAGGAGGGTTGCAGAGTATCTCGATCAATATTTTAGAGGTAATTGGATTGGTACCAATGGACCAATAAGATGGCCTCCTCGATCTCCGTGTCTTAACCCCAAGGATTATTTTGTATAAGGCTTCGTAAAGAACCAAATCTACGATATGCCAAATAATCTACAAGAACTTCGTCAAAGAATATTAGATGTATTTGAAAAAATTACACCAGAAATGGTTGATAAAACTACATCCCAAATGTCTAGGAGAATTGCACTCTGTATCCAACAGAATGGACTACATTTTGAGCAACTATTGTGACTGGTTTTGTTTTTGAATTTTGTTTTTGTTATTATTATTTGTAGAATGTGTACAACCATAATTTGTTCTTCATTAGTCTTGTTTGCTTGTTGTACTTAATTATGTTTGATAAAAAATTGTAACCCATTTTGTAATTAAATAATTCTTGTATTATGTTTCAAATAATATTTAAAATTTCACATTTTAAGGATTTTTTGTTTTTAATTATTATTTAATTAGCTATCTTGTTTTATTCAAGTAAGAAACGGTATCATCAGAAGCTACATAGCTGATGAAATTTTCATAGACGAAACGTAGTAAAATGGTAAAGTGTAACAGATCGTTGTATTTAGCTATACAAAAGCTATAAAAACATTACAATTAAAAATCCAAAATAAGTTGAAGGTGGCCCTGCAAATACGAAACGTCGTAATAAAAATGTTGACATGGCAGATTATAGGGAACTTGATTTATAACAAAAACTTCGTATTTTTTTTATCTTTTATAATAACGCACGACTTAAAAAACGAAAATGAGGTTTTTCGGATTTTATCGAATATCTCCGGAACCAGTCAGAAAATCTGGAACTTCTATGGACCATTGTATTATCCGTCAAAATACGAAACTTTTTCCCCATTTAACCGACAATGTATATCTTACGGTTTACGAGATCTCTGTATACGCAAATTAAATCCGGTCCACCCTGTATACAGTAGAACCCCGATTGTTCGTGCGCGCTTTATGCGTGCGGCATTTTAAATTGATCATCCGTGCGCGGATTATCCATGGGTGGCGGCCAGAGGTTGGCGCATGAACGCTGGTTACTTACGGATGACCACTCAACATTTGATGGGCATACATTTAATTTTGATACTAAAAAATGTACAATAAAAAAATTCATTTCAATAAAATTTATAGATTTCTTATTTTTGTCACACTTCGCCGTCTTTCTCTGCTCTATAACAACTTGGCTTTTTTCTCATATACCAACTTATAACTACTTCTACCACCCTTTCTCTGCTATCTGGTCTTTTTTCTTCAATAATGTGAAACAAATTTACCTTGTCTTTTTTGTTTATATTATCTCCTACAGATTCACATTCGGGGAGGTTATGATTGATAACCTGTCTTATTTTTAACACATGTTATTTTATAAACACACAGAAATAACAACCTGTTCACAAATAACGTCTCTGTTAAAAATCATATTTCGTGTCCTTCATAACCCTCAAAAATCCAATATACCTAAATTTCAATACAAAAACTTTTCTTTTCTAAATCTAGCTAACAAACCCTTCAAAATTTTTTAATTCTCCCGTCTGACATTTTATTTTTCATAATATTCTGATTTTCTTATAGCGCATTCGACTTTTAGTTCTGCACTCATTTCCAGCAGCATTTTTATAATTCGAAATTATATCAAGCAATGCACGCTCAGGGGTAGTATTCTCGAATCACGAATACCGACATTCGCATACGTGTTTTACAATGTGTCTCACTTTGTTGAACGAAAACCAAGTGAGACAAATCATAAATCTCGCATGCGAATCTATATTCGTGACTCGAGAATACTACCCCTGAGTGCGAACCAGTTCGTACATCATTTTATCGTTATTCGACTGATACAGTTGACATTTCCAGTTTCTAACCTAATATATTATGTTTTTTTAACAGTAGTAGCTACTTATGGGTGGGCTTCCACCGGGATTTAAATCTTTTTTATAGAAGAAGTCTGAATTTTCAAATTTGGTATTTGAACATTCCATATAAATTTTGTTCATCCTGAAGTTTCTTTTGAACTGTGAGAGGTTTACAATCTTTATTTAATAATATACACATAAAAGTAATAATTTAAATTTACTTATTTTTTAGAACATTTTTCCACAACTTCAACTTATCCTAAATTCTTTGTCAATTTTTGTTTTCAAAATTTTATACAACTCTTCTATCTATATCATCGCTAATATCTTCATCTTCACTATTACTGGATAATAATAAAGGCAAAGGTAACATATTTAAAAAATTGAAAATAAAACCTTACCTCTAATCGGCACTGAAATAAAGTAGTTTCAAAAAATTCGAACTTTGAGCGCTTCTACCAGTCGAACAAAAATATGATTGTGTTCTCGTGCCGGACAATTCCAGTCGAATTCAATAATTGGTTTAGTTCTGCCAGTCGAATGTATGGCACTTTACAAACCTTCATTAATCAATTTTGACAACAAAAAATAAGTCACTAAATTAATTTTGAACACGAATATCATATTATTATGTATTGTATATTCAATGTACGTTCTTTTATTATGTACCTATAAATATTAAAACTTTTATTTTTTGTTGCATGTATCACGTTTCATTTATTCCTATAAATAATTAAAAAACTAAAAGAGGTTTTTGGATTATCCGGGTGGCCAGCCGGGACAGAGCCTTTGCCGGATAATCGAGGTTCTACTGTACATTTAAAATTAATTATTGTTCCTAGCAACATAGCCATAAAAATGTAACCTTATATTTTCAAAACTACCTACATTCCCTCGACTATTCTGGCGATTACACAACACTGCATAGTCGTGAGTGCATAAATGATCGATAACGTGCATAGATTTAATACATTTATAGCTAACATTTTAGACAATGGGGTACAGTACATTTATTATTGATTTACTTACCGAAATTTAAAAATAGCAGTGAACTCTGGAATTTATACGAAAATTTAAAAATTAACGGCAATACCACAAAGAGGACGACAAATACCAGAAGTAATAATTTGGCAGCTATTAAGGAAATTCTGTAACAAAAGAAAATAGATTATGATAAATTAAATTTGAGAAATTATAAATAAAATACAATTTCTTATGACTTATGACAAGTCCAACGACAATTTTTAAGAACATAATAAAAAATATTGAATTTATTACAAGAGTATACCTTTTAAAACGTACACATTTTCTTGACTTTCCCGTACCAATTTCAATTGCATCACAGAAATGCTCACTCATGTCTTTAATTTTACATTATTGGAGTCATTGTTAGGACACACGATTCAATTTAATACTGAATATACAAATATCAGTATACATGTGTATATATATCAAAACTTAAATTATCTAAATCGTTATTCTTGATAAAGTTCTTTACATACAAATTGATATACAAATAATCAAGTTGTCAACATTTCAATTTTATGTATTAATATTTATTGCAATTTTATTGGATGAGCTTTCAATTAAACTTTCCCGCTCTGCATTAAACAGCTGATTTCGATGCAAGCAACTCAATTACCAGATATCTTATGAATTCTGTTATTTTTTAGGTTTATATTTCGAATCGGATCTAAAAACAATTTCACCAGACTGATCCAAATTTGAAACCTTTTAACAATACTAAAAAATTTGTCAGAAAAAATTATGTGCTAGATGTAGATGGCGGTGACAATCTAGGGACTAAACAATTTTAAATACTGTTCAAAAATGGAAAAGATAATTCAAAGAAGAAAGTACTAGTACTAAGTAAGAGAAAAATAATGGGCGTGTTTAGTGATATTCAAAAATATTTTTTTCTAAAAGCTAGCACAAAATCTAATCCAAAAATATTTTTTTGAAATGTTTTTCTTTTCAAATTTTCCTACAAGATTTTTTAAAATTCAAAGAAATTCAAGCAAATTTAAAACACGCGCCACACTGATTTTTAAACATCGTCATAATGAAGCCTAAAATCTGATTGGCTAATTTTTAACCTTCCAGACAATAGTCGATGTTTTTACCTTGTTGCCGCTACTTATAAAGAATTATTGAAATTCCGGATAAGCGACAATTTAAAGGTTAAGATCGTATAATTTAACATAAAAACATATATATTAAATTCAGTTTTTATGACTACTATTTCAATAAACTTTCTTCTTAATCGAAATGTTATTCAAGTCATAATCGCCATATCGCGAAATATTTTCTCTAAGTCTGGCAACGTGGTTTCATCTGTGCGTCTAAATCCTTATCTCGTTTTCGATTGCGAGATTATTTTGATTTATATTAAAATTGTTATTTAATTTTTTTTTAAATGGCCAAAGTATAAACAGGATTAAAGGAAGAATCTTTAGATAACTTACCCAAGGTGGATTCTAACAGGATTAATGATTTTTTATAAATAATATAAAGTTTATTGGCTCTGAAATTCGAAACGTAAGTACACTTTCAAAGCTCCAAATTTTTCTAGAATTATTGTATTCAAAGAGATTTGTGATTAAGAAAAAAACATTTTTTATTATACAAACTCACTACTCAATATTGTTGACATTTTTCTATTCTCTTGTAGGTCTACCATTCTACCAAGGAAGTGCACTATCATATGTTCGGTTACCATTAGTAACATTAAAGCTAGAATTACACCAGAACACAAGAAGTTTATAGCGTTATTCAGTAATAAATGAAGAAAATGAAAAGGTCATATCTTGTAAATTCGCAGTATATTCTGCTTTCGAAGGTAACTTCACTTCCTGTTAAAAAGCTCAAAATAAAGTATTAAATGATTTTACATGGTAAGATGGGTACAAACATAGTGTTGCTTTCTTGTTTGTAGCTTCTGAACACAATCCAAGTGAATAACCTTCCATCACATCAAAATTGTGTTATTAGAAAAGGCCACTGTTGTCAAAAGTTTGAAGTCTAATGATTTGAGGGTGTCGATTCTTCTTCGAATTAAAAACATTAAATGTGTGCTTTTTATACATAATAAGAGTGAATAGATTTATATCCATGCAAAGTGACCAGACAATTATACCGGACCCTGTGCCCCGGGCGGCAAATAGTAAAATAATTTTTCTTCATAAATGCGAGTTTTATCGGCTTAGCTCAAACTGAATCATCGATGCCAGGTCCATAAACTGTCACTTTTGGGGTCTAAAGTGAATAATTACGAAGTTATAAGGTGTTACAAAATTAATTTAAAAAATGTGCGTTAAGGTATGAATCACCCTGTACATAAACATATTTTCAACACTGGAATTCTATTATGAATATGTTAAAATTTAACGGACGTTAAAAATATAACTTTCTGTAAATTCATGAAAAATTTTAACTTGTCATAATTAATTTGTGCGCCAAAAATCTATTCTATAAGCAGAAATATGTTAATTTAACATAAATATGTTAATTTTATGCGTTAAATCGAGGATATTAACATGTACTAATTAGTAGGCTTTAAAACTTAACATATAAGAAATTATGACTTTTGAATGTTTAATTCAACTTATAATGCAAGAAAATCATAAAAATAAACCATTTTGAAAGTGCTCAAGTAATTTTAACAGTTGAAATTACACAAATTCTATTTAGAAATTATATTTTTTTACAGTGTATATAAACTTTTTGTAATTAGTAATTGATTTGCCGTAGAATGGCACTATTATAAGATTACTGGGGGTTAGTTTTGTTTATATTGAAAATTGATGGCCTGCCAAATAGTTTATAAAGTAAATTCGGCCGCTACTATTTTCAATATTCTTGTGCAAAAACAGACAGATACAATAAATATGACAAGAGGAATGAAATTTATTTGACAGACCTTAAAACTTAACTAAACTTTTATGGCAACTTTGAACTTCTTTTAACGTATGTTAATTTTTTATTTAAATTTAACATATGCGTTAATTTTATTTTTACACAATTACAATTTACAATCGTAAAATTTAACACCCGTTAAAAATAAACGTATTGAATTACAGAATTACCACTAACGTCATGAATATTGCCAATAATATATGTCGGCGCATTGGCCAACGTGAAACTGTATTATAAATATATAATTTTATTTTAACGTAATTATTAACCTTTTGCTTAATAATTTGTAAAATCGGTTTGATAATAAAAATAATGTGTATTAATAACAATAATTTCAATGTTATTATAATGCAACATTTTGTGAGGTAAGATGCAATAAGTTATTTTTGTTACAATAATGTTATATACTTTTTTACTCAGCTACTAGCTGTTATTGTCCTCATCATCGTGCTAACAAATGAAGACAAAAAATTTCTCATAATTTTTCATCTTTTAACAGTTGAAGACAAGTGGATGAAGGTCTCATGTCACATTTTTTGAAAAAATGTTTTTTATGGCGTAATATACTTAAAATATATTTTTTGTTTGTGACAGATCTGATTTTCAATTTTTATAAATAACGGCTATATTAAACTTGTTTTTACCTCGAAATAATCTTTTTGTGACATAACAGCTTTATCCACTTGTGTCTTCAGTTATCAAAATTAGGTACTAAAATACAAATACTTAAGTCCGGCCTAGAACATTTCCCTACTCCTTCCAACGAGTTTTTCGGTTTTGGCAAAATTCGCAAAGCCGCAAATGCTTTCTATGTTCTCTCTACCCTTTCTAAACTCTTTGCTGCAAGGTATTTGTTGTCTGATGCTTTAGTAAAAAAATACCTTCACATTTTCGCTTTAATAACGCTGGTAGTTTCGTATAATTTTCTATATTTATTCCTTGGCGTATATTTATTTTGTGGATAGTTCTGTAAAATACACCAAACATAACAGATTCCGAATAAGATTTTGTTTTTTCCTTTGACTAATTTAAGAAGATTCATACGCCGCCACATTTTTTTTGGTTTTCAAAACAATACATTTCGTGACGCAATTTCAGCAGCTTCTTTTACTTCCGGTGGAGTTAAGAGTTTTTAGTAAAACATTTTGCAAATTAATTTACAATCAAAATTTGACGTTTTAATTAGAGTTAATTCAACTTTTAGATGACAGTCGCCACCTACTTATAAAGTGTCTAAAAATTGCGATCGGTAAATCAATGCTTAAAATAAACTCCTTAAGAAATACATGGGATTTTAAGAACATATTGAACCGAAAATTCTGAAAATCAATAGGGTTCCAAGTTAGAAGCAATTATTCAAGAAAATCAAAACCGCGAGTCAATCGGAATTTTATTTCTAGAGTTATCGTGCCGGCACATACGCACAGACGACCAGAAGTGAAAAAAATCTTAAAAAGTGAGGGTAGGAAGGGCCTCAGTAATTTAATGAAAATAACATAAGTCTCTTAACAACTGAAAATTCATAATTGTTCCATGGAAACTAGAATAATATCTCCTTTTAAAATTCCATTTCACCCTTATTTTGTTTATCACGATATTTTATTGACTTTTTTCTGGTTGCAACTATTATTGTAGATGAAGGTGATTTACACCATTTATTTACCTGTGACCTGGTTCATGCATAAGTTGCACAAACGATCTACACTCAATTTAGCAGCTCTTTTTAATGCGGCAGCCGATTCGAAAGCTCTGTGTCTAATATAAAACACAATCTCATTGCTTGAAATGGGCAAGGGCTTAATTATGAATGAATTGATTAGTCTAGAAGTTCTTTATCGTTAAGTGGCATCTTCTAAATATGAATTATTGTTTTTAATGTAAAAGGATGTAAAGCTGATTGGTTCGAAAGATTGGCAAGTGATGAATAATTTTTCCCTACTTTTGAAATTAAGGTGACTCTGGTCTTTTTCCATGATTCTGGTATATATCGAAGTTCCAGACTGCTCTGAGATATCAAGATGTGATAATAATTCCTTCTGTGCCCGCTGACGTAGAGCAGGAAATATTATATCCACACCTGGAGACTTAAACGTTTCAAAAAGGTTCACGGCCCACTTTAACAGATTGCTGCTGCATATGCGTTTGTCCACAGCTTCGGCCTCTCTCTAGGGCCTGTTTACCTTCCAAAATTATAGATCTTTATCTATCTCTATTAATTTCTAAGATCAAGACA